TACTACATTTATCTGATGTGAAGAATAAGGATTTTTTGACAGTTATTTAGTTTGAAAGTAGATTACATCCTATGATGACCTGGTTCAGTAAACGTTCAGTGGTCCTGTAACATCGGACTCCAATTCGATCATGTGATTATTTATATCTAAATATACATGCCACTAATCCTTGTGTATAATCATCAACTTAACTCGCATTATTGAATAACGGAATTAAATAAGTCATATACCAAGATGCTTTTCGAATACGTGTATTTCATAGAATCATTTATCCGGACAAACGATCAGAGAAACGAAGCGAAATGACGCGCGGTAAAGAAGGCTTGTGAGTTAACTCACTTTAATTAAGCGTTACTCAATATTTATAGTCAAATTGAGCCAAGGTGAAGCACGACAAAGCAAAATGCTAAGTGAGGCGAAGCAAAGCGAGTAGTTAACCAGGTCGAAAAGTGACTCAAGAAGTATGGAAAAATTGGACTGTCCAAAAACTAGAATAACCTAAGTGGGTTCGACAGACGTTGATATAATAAACTGGTCAGTGATTTTTAGGATAAGTGGTTTAGTCAATGCATATTTATCAGAATGGGTTTTGTGGAGATTTTAGGAACTTCACTTGTTGAAATCATGAGTCAATTGAAGCTAGACCAACATAGAAAACCTGGAAGCACTGGACGGCCGTCTCGTCCTATTGTGAAACTCCTCAGGAGTGCGCATCTGCAACCTCGCCCCCTGAGAGATTCGAACTCAGGACCTACTGGTTTCGCACGCGGGCACTTAACCACCAGACCACTGAACCGGCATCTAACGGTGTTAATATCTAACTTCAACTAATCCATGAGGTTGCGCCACCGTACACCATTGTCTTCAGTGAGTTACTATCTCACAACAGACCTGGTTGAACTCCACTCGTGGATGTGCACTGCTGAGAAATCCCATTCTAGGACGAGTTGGCCTTCCAGTGCTTCCAGGTTTTCCATGGTGGTCTAGCTTCAATTGGGTCATGATTTCAACAAGTGAAACTGCATATTTATGATTAATATAACTAATCGTTCATCTTATTTCACTTTCTGTCCAACTTTAAAGTTGTATGTTAATCAACTGCTAAATTGTGAAACATGAAGATCTCAACAAAATGTCAAATTCAATAAACTGTTTTTAATAAATAACTTTAGACATCTATGACATGGAATTCATCCACAACATAGAGTTGAATTCACTCTTATATAATTACTTCTAAAGATATATATATATATATATATATATATATATATATATAACATTCCACTTCAAAAAATATATCGAATATGCAACAGATGGTAGATTAGATTACTTAATTGATAAATAGAAATTAAAAGAAAAAGAAGCTCAAATTGTATGTCAGATAAACATGTATACTAAACCACAATTGAGAAGATAATCAGATTAAGAATGATATATTGTTGAATAAACTATGATCTTAAACTATCTCCTATTGAAAAGAAAAAGAATAAACTTTAATTCTTACAATGTCATGTGTTTATTTATTTTTTTCATGATTTAATTACTACTGTTGATCTATGATAGATCATTTCCTTACTTTGAGTTAGCTCAACATTTATTCAGAGCCAAGTTACCTATTAATACATGTCCAGAAAATATGTTAGCAACTTGATCATGAATTCACAATGAATGATTCTTCAAAACAAAAAAAATACAAAAAAAATCGAAGTCATTTTTACGTTATCCTGGATCATCATCATAATAATATTAATGATAAAACGTATAATAAAAGTCTTCAAAATAGAACATTCATTTGCTTTCTTACTCTGTCATTATGAAAGAAAGAAAGAAAGAAAAAATAAACACCCTGGATACAACACAATAAATGAGTTGATATTTAAAGAGTAAAATTCATAATACACTTTATAATCTTAATTATTAGTTGTATAAATATTTATATTCTTCTTATTGGATAAGGCTTTTTATCATTATAATAATTCTAATAATTTCTTTTTAGTAAATGCAGAGTAAGAAAAGAGTTTAATCGAAAATTAATGGGATAGAATATATTCCAATAGATGAATGACCTCATATTGAATATTGGTAGTTCGTTAAATAAATCCAATGCAACTTACATAATTATCATTGCATTAAATTAAGATTTTTTTATACCAATAATTACTTACTTATGCCTGTTACTCCCGCCAACCTGCATTCTCCAATTTTACTCTGTCTTAGGTCTTCTTTTCTCATTCTGTCCAATTTTTGTGAAATACTACTATTTAGTAGAAAAATATTTCGAATTAAATTTCTGTTAAATTAAATTACATATTCAGAGAGGGGTTTTGTGGATATTATAGTTATTTAATAGTTTCATTCATGAGCCACTTGAAGCTAGACCATCATGGAAAACCTAGAAGCACTGGACAGCCGTTTCATCCTAGTATGGAACCCCTTAGCAGTAGTCTAGTGGTTAAGCTCTCGCCCACGAGACTGATAGGTCCTGGATTCGGATCTTGCTAGGCGAGATCGTGGATGCGAAGTTCTATACTAGAACGAAACGGCCGTCCAGTGCTTCCAGGTTTTCCATGATGGTCTAGCTGCAATTGATTCATGAATTTAACTAATAAATTAAATTTCAATTAAACTTGAACATAACACATGTGATAATTAAAGCCACTTAATCACTTTAGTTAGGTTTATTACTCAATTTGACAATTCATATGGGATCTATTCATTTTCGTATAGAAAATTAAACATAGTTGATGATATGGAAACACTTAACTCAGAATATATGTAATACCACCGAAATTATGTTGTATGAATTTATAAATTGATCCATTTGATAATATTTTATAGGGATACATAAATATGCAAAAGATTATTTGAGAATGGTTTTATACATAGACGAACATAAATAAACGAGTTATTTAAAGATAGCAAGCACTGGTTTCCAAATCAATATTCATCATAATAAACTTAGCTTTATAGAACATTTTAACAATCGTTCAACAATGAAGACTATGGAGCGCTGAACAGCTGATTCATTGTAGTATGGGACTTCTCAGAGATATTTTTTCATGAACATACTGAGGATCAAAATTTAGAGTGAGTGTTTATCACTTCAACTGTTGTGTCGGCATTCAACGGTTCGTATATCTAACATCAATCAGTATTTGAAATTCAGCAACGTCATTTAATATCATTAGTGGAAAGTCATCTTACAGTGGACATGGTCAGACTACAGTGGTTAAAGTTTCCCATTTATAATCGAGGAATTACTTCACAAAATCGGTCGCTTATAAGCACATAATAATAATTAGCATGAGATAATTACAGAAATTGTTGTGTTTCATAGTTTACATCACGGGCTAGCGTTAATTAAGCATTAACTGAAAACCAGGAGGGTTCAGGTTAGATCCCCGGTGTTGTGGTGGATGCACAGTGAAGAAAAGTCTCATACCAGGATGAAACATCTCTGTTGTGTTTCCTGGCCTTCAACGGCTCTGTAACTTAAATCAATCTTTGATATAAATCATGAAATTTAGTCATCCTAATAAATCCTCTCAAATTAAGAACATAAGAACAGTTTATTTTATTTAGGTTTGACCTGTAAGTTAAAAATTAAAATTTCACCAAAATGAATACATAACTATACTACATTGAGTAAACAGAAATTAGCTGTTGTTTATGAAATAACTGGGTAAATAAAAACTCCAAACGAATTTTTCTTTGAGTTAAATACTTGAAAATCCGTTTCTAGTAAGCCTTATAATCTCATATTTTATTGTATTAGTCATATAGTAGTGCTAACAGGTCATGCTCAAGACCATGTTACTAAGAAATGTAGTCTTACATAGAAATAAATTGACATACTGTAAGTGCTTATATATATATATATATATATATATATATATATATATATATATATATATATATATATATATATATATATAGAGAGAGAGAGAGAGAGAGAGAGGATACGAATATCGGTCATACTTGAGCTTTTGTACGAAACTCTTAATCATCTCGTTTTTACCTTACTCACTGCTTAACTTAAATATGTATTCTAGTAAATTTGTTTTTTAATTTAGAATTTCTAATACTTGATTTAAATGTAAGCAACTTCGCTGAATACAATCATTCACTAATGATTAATTTATACTATTCAGCTGTTTTATTCCGCCTTTGTTAGGTCTTAATAATGGTTTCTAGAAACCAGAAAGATTGACCCTAGTCATTAAGACACTTATTAAATATTTCATATTACATTTCTTTTTCTTTGCAATTAGTACGTGATTCATCAATATTTTCATTCATTTTGTTCATTGAATAACTTCTTTGCCAGCTTCCTAATAAATCATATGTAAATTCTGATCGTCATATTAAAGATGAATATTTTTATTTCAATAATTTATTCAATCATGAACTCAATCATCATCATTAATTCTCTAACAATCATATTTACTACTTAAAATATCTTTCCATAGTTCCATCTTTTCACAAAGCAACTGAGAAAAGTGAAAATTTGTTACTGATTTCGTCTTTTTTTTAAATGGTAAAAAATGGAACTAATCCATGTCGGGTAAAGACAGGTATCTACTTCGGTACAATAGAAGTTGGTCGCGCAATTTCGTGGGTTGCTTGAGGTTAGACACTATCACCACTAAATACCTGCTCAGTGGTCCAGTAGGTTAAGCGTTCGCGCGCGAAACCGAAGACCCTGGGTTCGAATCCTGCGAGCGGGATCGTAAATGCGCACTGCTGAGGAGTCCCAGAATAGGACGAAACAGTCGTCCAGTGCTTTCAGGTTTCCAAAATTGGTGGTCTAACATCAATCGTTTCATGATCTCAATGAAAAACTTAATAATCTCCACCACCCCTATACTAGCAATGTCTTTTTCTTAATCTAATAATAATTCAAATATAATACTGGTTTAAAATATTTTAATAAACCAATCAAATCGATTACATAATATTTCATTATGTATATATATGTATCTTTTTCTCTTTTTTTCCAGAATTATTAATGGAATATTATCAATCATTTCCATGGAAGCTAATCAAACAACAAATTCAACTTTGAATCTTCCAACTTTAGTTATTTTAATTAAAAATATTTGTATTCCATTTTATTTATTAATATTAATATTTGGTTTATTTGGTAATGGATTAACAGTTGTTATATTACAATCAAAACGTTTACAACAATCTAGTACATTAATTTATTTAACTGTATTAGCTATTGTTGATATATTTTATTTACTTACTGGTTTATTATTTACTATCATTAATTATACATTTTTATTTCCAAGTGATATTAGACATTATTCATTAATTTCATGTATTTTAACACCATATTTAAGTTATACATTAGCTTATTTAAGTGTATGGTTATTAGTATCAGTAACTATTGATCGTGCAATTTGGGTTGTACAACCATTTAGTGCAAAACGTGTATGTACAACACGTAATGCATGGTTAACTATATTTAGTATAACAATTATTTTATTTATATTTGATTCACATTTCTTTTGGACAATGAATTATAATATTGATTCAATTAATTCTACAATTAATACTACTTATTATAAATGTACACCAAGTTATTTTACCCAAACTATATTTCCATATATTGATTTATTATTAGTATGTGTAATTCCATGTTTATTTATGCTGATAGCTAATGGATTAATTGGAATACAATTAAAACGAATGAGTGATTTTAATAAAAAACGACAAAAGAATCGTTTATTTTTGAATCATGCTTCAATTCAACAACAACAACAACAACCAACACAAGGATCATTAAAGTGTGCATACAATTTGACAGCAGGCAAATTAACAAATGACTCTCGTTTAAATGATGATTTGTCAACAAATATCAGTGGTACACAATATCCTAGAAAACGATGTAAATCAAATGCATTGAAACATTGTGTAAAGAATTCTATTAAAGGTCGTTCAAATATGAATAGATCTTCAGCATTGACAGCAATGTTATTAGCAATTAATATGTTTTTTATGATAAGTGTATGTCCACTTCTTGTTTATGATGTAATCTATTTTGCATTTAATTTAAATACTTGGATTGAAAAAGATGAATTAATTAGAGGTGTATTAGTTTTTGGTATTGAACGATTTGTTTATGTTTTATGGTATACTAATTTTGCTGTACACTTTTTATTATATTGTCTAAGTGGTCCACAGTTTAGAGCACAAGCAAAACATTGGCTTCAATCATGTTGTCATTTTATGAATTTACCTTGTTTAATTAATGATAAATCAACAATAAAATTACAGGATACAACAAAAATTCATGAATTTCATGATTCCACTATAAAAAAACCAATTTCACCACAAAATTTAAGTATAAATTATTGTCCATCACCTAGACAATCTTATGATGATACAATTCAACGTCCATCATATCATCATTATCCACAACAAAGTCATCAATCTTCTTTTGTACAAATTAATGATGAAAATCATCAAGTATTTAGATATCATTCTGTTCAATCTGGTTGTATTTAATAACAAATACATACAAATATCTCAGCAACAAACAATCTACTTTACCATCTATAGTTTTGTTTAAAATAACTCGAAATATGATTATTATTATCTCAAATCATTTGAATCTTTCATTGAATTAAAATTTAACTACCCGGATTGATAAGATTTATTGAATGATCCATTAGTTATTATTAAATATTCAATCAATCAATCAATCAATTGATCATTTAATTTAACTAGATATATCTACGAATAAAATGGGATAAACAATAAAGACATAACAACAACAACCACGGTAACGACAACAACAAAAGAAGATCGGAGAATAACAACGTTATCATGAATCAGTGTGGAAAATAAAAGATATATCTATGATAAATAAATGAATATATTTACGATGGAAATGATTAAGTAAGAGATGAAGTAAAGTTTTTCTGTCATATATACAACCACTCTTCTTATTTTCTTCCTAAAAAAATTGTGAATGTTGTACATAATTATGCATTCTATTGAAATAATGTTTTGCTGTTAATTTGGTTGTTGCAAAACATAATGGAATATCATTGGATTGTTGATTTTTTCTTTTACATTCATAGTTAGGAAATACTGTTGCTAGTTAAGTGGGATATCTAACCTAACTGGAGTGATTATCATTGATGAAGGTTAAATGTTAATTCAGTCACTATTTTCAATGATAGTTATTGAGGGTATAATTTATCGCTTAAATGATTCTAGTCATTGCAAACTAAAACGAATGAAATAGCTTTTTTGGATGCTAATGTAACGTCTGATTATCATAATCAATGTATATTGCGAAGCTTTTGGAACTTCCTCGGGTTATGTTACTATTGAGGTACTTTATTACGAAACATAAAATGACCTTTTTACAAGGTGATTGAACTCACTACATTTCTAATGATATACCACTGAGAAGCTAGTAAATCAAATGCCAATGCTTAAAAATTATAATTAAATCCATTGTTTTATTCATAAAGGTCTTCGATAGTATGTTGGATATAAGATTTCAGTGAACATTGAGATAGTTTGCCTTGTAATCTACTTCATTATTGTTAAGCGGAAACAAACTAGTGAAAACATAGGTTAATATTTCTTGATATAAAGTTAAGTTGTACTCTTAGAAAATTACTACAATACAACATCAACACTCATTCATTGTAATATATATATACAGTTAAAATAAACAATTCATCCTATAACGTCAGTTTGAGCCTCATCACAGTAAAAGAAAACGGATTCATATTAGAAAGTGTGTCAGTAAAGAAACTGGAATAAACTCATAATGATTAAATTTTTATTTTCGGACTGATGTTTGATGTTAGGTCTTGAGGTTTGGGTATATTTCATAAAGCAGTGACGTGTTAGTTAATTCTTGGCAATCTGTTACCAAAGTGGTGGTGTAATCACACGTCGTGAATTAAAGAAGACAAGTTTTGATTAGTGATCTGTCAAATAAATTATGGTGAATAATAGTACGGCTTCGTTGAAATACAAGGTTTGATTGATACTTCATCTTTACCGATATATCATGAAATATTTGGTTTATGGGATTTGTTTAAACAGAATATGGTTTCCTAATCTAGTTCAGTCAATGAGACATAATTAACGAGGATAGACAGGAGAGATCAAGAAATGTAGAAAATTGTTTTCGCTGGATCAATGTTACATATTCACAATTATACGAATTTACAGGTACGTAGAATAACTTGACAATAATACACGTGGGTCGTAACCCTCTTTACGTTGATTATTTTGTTACTCACTATAGCAGCTCGATCAACACAGTGTTATGAAATTTCATGTAACTGGAGTTTCTGTTCAACTTTTAACCATGAATTGACTTATAAAAAACCACTGGACTCCGAGGTAAACTAGGCAAAGGTTTCGTTCTAGTACATACTTCTTAGCAGTGTCTATTCCTGAACAGATGCAAAAGTAGTAAAAAAGTAGGTTATGCTTTCCGACTTCATTTATTTGATCATTTAGCGCAAGTGGGGGTTTGATCATTAGAACTTTCCTTTGATATGGATAATCAGAAGCTCATGTTTGAAACATGAGCCACAAGAGTCAGTCGATTAGTTAATAAGGTAATACCTCACTAAAAATACTGGAACACACTACATTGCAAATAGAGTTGGAAATAAATACCACTGATTCTACATTGATAGTTCAAATACATCATGTTTCGAGTGAAGCTAGTAATCTTGAGTTTATTGTCATGTCAGTTGTTTGATATACATCTTCAGAAAGTCTGAATTCATAATCAAACGAATGTTATATTACAGTATTATTCTTGATGACTTCTCAGCCAATTATCTTACTTGTTTTAAAATAACTCAACAACCTAAACCCATTTGATAATTCAGTATTTGTAAAAAAAGGTTCTATAGATATTTTTGATTGAAATCCTGAACCGACTGATGTTAGACTACCCTTCAAAACCTAGAAGCACTGGACAGCCATTTCGTCCTATTGTGTGACGCCTCAGCAGTGCACATTCACAATCTTGCACTCAGGTCCTTCAGTCTCGATCATGAACGCTGTACCTCTACACCACTAAGCCAGCATCCAACAGTGTTAATGCTTATCTTAAGCCAATACAATATAAAGGCAACTAGTTATTATTACTTTTTTTAAAATCACAACTGTCAATATTTTGTTTACCAACATTTTCTGCACATAGTAATCTTCTTGAATGTTTACATTCCCATAGAAGAAATTAGTGAATTTTAAAGTTCCTATTTTACAATTAACTTTATCAACATTCAATACAATCGCTGTTTATAAATGGTTTCAACTTTTTTTTCTTTTTTTAAAAAATTTGTCCTTAATAACTTTATGTTCATGAGATCTTATGAGATTAGTTTACGAAACTTTCAATTAGTCTAAATGAATCGTATGTCAGTGTAGGGAAGTAAGTTCATGTCATTTAACTTAAAATAAGAATAGTAACTATTCGAGTTTTAATTTAATCCCCCTCTCTTTTTTCATTTCGTTCATCTTATATACTACAGGAAATCATAATCTTAAAATAAAAATATTTATTTGATAGACCTATTTCTAAGGTGATATCAAATTGTATATCCAAATTATATTATTCATAAAATTAATTGAAGAACTAATTGAAACGTTGATCAGTTCTACTAAAATAAAACTACACTTTTGTCCTAAAATAAAATGAATATCAATTAATTTCAATTTATGACTGATTGATCCTATGAATATGAATAAATGGAAATGTGATTCAATTAAAAAGATAGAATAAATTAAGTTTTTAGATAGAGTTTAGCCCAATGAACAAGGTGAAAGTAGAAGTACACATCAATATATATATATATATTCATTATAAACGTGGTTTAATAAAGAGCTTATTCAATAGAATCAATCGTATTTGTACCAGTGATACTATTGAAGTAGAGATGAAGCTCTTGACCGATGCGTTAATCAATAATGGTTACCCTTTGAAGTTCATAAACCGCTGGAAGGGTTGCAATATGACTAGACCTATGACGCTTCTGGCACCCAAAAAGCGAGTTTATATTACGCTACCATTCAGAGGTGACACAAATAGTCTCATGTTGAAACAGAGACTTAAATTAGCTATCAACCGGACATTTTATGCAGCCCAACTTGTCATTATCGAAAAGACAAGGTCTATGTTTCACCAAAAGCCCAAACAGCATGAAAACGATTGTGTCACATCCCATTGTGTCTACAAATTTACATGTATGTGTGGAAACACGTACGTAGGGAGGAGCAATCGTGATTTGCAATTAAGGGTGGGTGAGCATATACCAAAATGGTTGCAAAATCAGATGAATTCCAATGCTGAAATAAGACCACAGAATAGACAGACATCATCATCCATTGCGAAACATTTGATTGAGACGGGTCATAAGGTCGATATCAAATCAGCATTTGCCTTCAAGGACGTATACTAAGGTTTATTGAAGCCTTGGCTATACGAAAATTGAACCCCCCTTTGTGTGTTCAAAAACAATTTGTGCTTACACTTAACCTACCCTGGTAGTACTGATTTACTATCCAGAGTGGTAATCACATTTGTTTTTGTGTACTTTAATATTTTTCATTTGTTATGACTTACCCTTAACCTGTCTAGTTGACCTTTTAATTTTTCATATATAAATGTTCTTAACAATTATATGTGTGATCAGATTGTTCGAAATGTATTGCGCAAATATATCACGTAATTCTGATAAACTTCGTCTTCTCATTGCATTATCGACATAATTTATTGATTATTCAAGGAATGTTCTGTAATTTAGTTTCTTTCATAATTTAATCTGAATACCCTAATAGAAACAAATTTTTTTCGTTGTTAAGTAAACTTTTTAAAATGAGGAAGTTTTATATTAAATATTAGAACAAACGGTTTCCAAAAAAGACTCAGGATCATAACCATTGAAATTACTATAATATCCACAAAACCCTTTCTGATATTAATCAACATATGCTCACTAGTGACTGGCTTCAAGAGGTATATCATGGAGTTCTAGTAAGAAGTAGTTACCAGTGGAGTTCAACCAGGTCTGTTGTGAGATAGTAACTCACTGAAGACAATGGTGGATTTGTCGCTCAGTTTCGTGGATTAGTTGAAGTTAGATATTAACACCATTGGGTGCCGGCTCAGTGGTATAGTGGTTAAGTGCTCACTCTCAAAACCAATGGGTCTTCGGTTCGAATCTCGCAGAGGGCGAGGTCTTGGATGCCCACTGTTGAGGAGTCCCAAAACAGGACGAGACGGTCGTCCAGTGCTTCTAGGTTTTGCATGGTATTCTAGCTTCAATTGATTCATGATCTTAACCATTGAAGTAATCAAGTGTTTATATTGTTATAAAGATAATAAACATAATCGATGTGTTTAATTCATAATAATTTATCTGATCCAAACATTCTAGATAATATTAGACTATCTTTTGCTTATCTCTACGTCAATGGACAAAACAATTTGTGGACAACCTCTAGCTATTTTTACATTTATAAAAAATAAAAAAGCTGAATTTCATTTTTTTTGGTAGTGAAGTCATTCTAATCAAGTACTCATAACACGTAACATTTCCGAAACCAGTTCTCTTCATTTCGTTATATGATGATTTATTTGCGACTAGGACGTGAATAATATAAAGTTAGTTTAAACCATAAATCACGTAAATTTGATATTCAGTATTCGTCGGAAGAATATCTTTAGCACATAATAAAATGAATTAGGTAACTAAACATTTTTGAACGACAAGAATAGTAAGAGTCAGAGTTACTCAACAACTTCATGGTGAATTTGAATACTAAATATTCAGTTCACCTCTAAAGTTATGTGAAAAATCTAAAGAGATTATGTAATAAAAATAACCAACTAAACGATTGAATGTTCAATAACATTGTATAGTTTGTCTGGAGCCCCTTGAGTCCCTCTGGAGGCTACTGCCTGTTCAGAGCCCGGATAAAGAAGGAGGGTTGTGCATGTGGTTAGCGACCCCATCCTGTAGAAAACTAACTCACAAAAAAAGAAACACAAACCGGAAAAAATTATTCTAAATTA